CTCACATAATGAATAATTCCACTTGTATGAAATATCCAGAATGGGTGAATCCATGGAAACTGAAAACAGATTGGTGGTTGCCAGGGTTTCGGGGAGAAGGAACAGTGGAGTGACTGCATTGGGTTTAGGATTTTCTTTTGGGATGATGAAAATGGAGACTAAATAGAGGTAGTAGTTGTACAACATTGTGAATGTACTAAATGCCACTCACTTGTACGCTTTAAAATGGTTAATTTTGTTACGTGAATCTAATGTTAATACAAAAAAAGGGTAAAATAAACACTTTCACACAAATAAAAGCAGAGATAATTCATTGCTGACTGATCTGCACTATAATAAATATTAAAGGAACTTCTTTAGGTAAAAGGAAAAATAGATGGAAATTTGGACCTACATAAAAGAGTGAAGAGAAACTGGAAGTGCTAAATATATATGGGTAAATATAAAAGACTTTTTTCATTCTATTTATTTTTTTTAAAGATTTTTTTATTCATTTGAGAGAGAGAGACACAGCGAGAGAGGAAACACAAGCAGGGGGAGTGGGAGAGGGAGAAGCTGGCTTCCTGCCGAGCAGGGAGCCCGATGTGGCGCTCGACCCCAGGATCATGACCTGAGCCGAAGGCAGACGCTTAACGACTCTGAGCCACCCAACCGCCCCGACTTTTTTCATTTTAAACTATCTTTAAAAGATAATCAAACTTCCAGTTTTAGCTCTAAATATAAAGAACATGGAAGTCATCACTCCTGTCCTCAACAGTAACAAAAATCTGACCAAACTGAAAATCAAGAACTATTCTTAGATCCTTCTGAGATTTGAGGTTGTAGGGAAACTACCACTTCTCAAACTGGATAGACAGGTGAATACAGAGAATCACACCTGAGATCAGCTTACTGGAAGCAGAAGTTGCTTGAGCCATAAACTGGCTTAAATGATAATAGATGAATTGCTGGAGGCCGAGTGGACAGGCTTGAGAGTTAAAAACTCCTGGGGGCCCCATCTTAGGAGAGCCCCCTATTTCTATTTGTTTTGCCTCGCAGAGCCCCACCATGCTCTTATGATGAAGACTGGAGAAAAATCTTGTGTTTTGAGCCAGAGGAGGTTGAATATAATTAACACTACTGAACAATATACTTAAAAATGGTTACAGTGGTAAAGTGTGTGTGTGTGTGTGTGTGTGTGTGTTTATAACGGTGCCTGGGTGGCTCAGATGGTTGAGTGTCTGCCTTCGGCTCAGGTCATGATCCCAGGGTCCTGGGATCGAGTCCCGCATCGGGCTCCCTGCTCCTTGGGAGCCTGTTTCTCCCTCTGCCTCTCTTTCTCTCTCTCTGTCTCTCATGAATAAATAAATAAAAAAAAGTTAAAGAAAAAACAATTAAAAATTTAAAAAAGAAATGAGCTATCAAGCCAAGAAAAGACATGGAGGAAACTTACATACATATTGCTAAGTGAAAGAAGCCAATCTGAAAGGCTATCTACTGTATGATTCAACTATATGATATTCTGGAAAAGATAAAACAATGGAGACCGTGGAAAGATCAGTATTTGCCAGGGCTTCAGTGGGAGTGAGGGATGAATAGGTGAAGTACCAGATTCTTAGGGCAGTGAAACTATTCCAAATGGTACTGTAATGGTGGATACGTGTTGTTATACATTTGTCAAAACGCATATACAACACAAAGAGTGAACCGTACTGTAAACTATGGACTTCAATTAATAACATGTACCACAGTAACCACAGTAATGCAAGATGTTAATAATAGGGGAAAATTTGGGGGAGGTAAGCATATGGGAACTTTCTGTAGTTTCCACTCAGTTTTCTATAAACTGAAACTGCTCTAAAAAATAAAGGCTATTAGGGGTACCTGGGTGGCTCAGTCATTAAGCATCTACCTTCAGCTCAGGTCATGATCCCAGGGTCCTGGGATTGAGCCCCACATCGGGCTCCCTGCTCAACCAGAAGCCTGCTTCTCTCTCTCCCACTCCCCCTGCTTGTGTCCCCTCTCTTGCTCTCTCTCTCTGTCAAATAAATAAATAAAATCTTAAAAAAATAAATAAAAAATAAAGGCTATTAATTAAATAAGAAAGAAAACTGTATTCATCCCTTTCCAAAATACATATAACTCTGAATTACTAGTTTGTGTTTTCACAGCAAATAATTGCCAGCAGATCACAGGTATTTCTTCTAAATTGCCTGTTTCACTCACATTAAGAGTGTGACTGATCTGCACTATAATAAATATTAAAGGAACTTCTTTAGGTAAAAGGGTAAATATAAAAGACTTTTTTCATTTTATTTATTTTTAAGATTTTTTTTTATTCATTTGACAGAGAGAGACACAGTGAGAGAGGGAACACAAGCCGGGGGAGTTTCAGTGAATGACACCAATAGAAACTTTGATTGTCTCATGAACAACTTGTGTTCTTGCCTCTAGTCTTGCCCCCTAAAATATATTAATTAGCCTTCAGAAAAGAACACTTAAGTTTTCTAACATTCTAAGCACACCCTCACCATAGGGCCTTTGTACTAGCTGTTTCCTATATATCAGACAATCTCCCCCAGATATTTGCAAGGCTCACTTTTTTACTTCCTTTATGTCTTTATTCAAATGACCTTCTCTGGGAGGCCCTAAAATTGCAATTATCTTCCCCACATTTTTTCCATAACACTGATCACTTTTTAATATTAGAAAACTTACTTATTTCTGTCTCTCTCAGACATTACATATTTCAGTGTATTAATACAGCAATTTTGCTGTATTTGTTCATTAGTTCTGTCAGTTTCTTGTATGTCTATGTGTGTGTATGTAGAGGGGATCTTTAGGTATAAGATCATGTCATCTGTGAATGGAGATCATTTTACCTCTTCCTTTCCAATTTGGATACCTTTTTTTTTTTTTTTTTTTTGCCTAATTGCTCTGGCTAGGACTTCCAATACTGTGTTGAATAGAAGTGTTAGGAGTAGGCATCCTTGCCTTGTTCCTGATCTTTAAAGAAAAGCTTTCAGTTTTTTTACTGTTGAGTATGAGGTTAGTTGTGGGCCTTTCATATTTGACCTTTATTATGTTGAACTAGTTTCCTTCTATTTCTAGTTTATTGAGTGGGTTTTTTTTTTTTATCATGAAAGCGTGTTGAATTTTGTCAAATACTTTTTTCTGTACCAGTTGAGATGATCACATAGTTTTTCTTCATTTTGTTAATGTGGTGTATTCCACTGATCAACTTTCATGTGTTGAACCATACCATCCTTAAGTTTACAGGAATAAATCCCACTTGGTCATGGTATATAATCCTTTTCATGTACTGCTGTACTCAATTTGCTAGTATTTAGTTGAGGATTTTTTCATCAGTATTCCTCAGATATTGTCCTATAGTTTTCTTCTAGTTTCTGTGTCTGCCTTTGGTATCGAGGTAATGCTGACCTCATAAAATGAGGTTAGGCATGTTGCCTCCTCTTCAGTTTTTTGGAAGAGTTTAAGAAGGATTGGTGTTAATTCTTTAAATGTTTGGTAAAATTCTTTGGTGAAGTCTTGTGGTCCTGGACTTTTTCTTTGTTGGGAGATTTTAAATGTCTCATTCAATCTCTTTAATGGTTATAGGTCTCTTCAGATTTTTTATTCTTATTCTAAGCATAAGAATTTTATCATGGTAGGTTATATATGTCTAGGAATTTTTGCATTTCTTCTAGGTTATCCAACTTGTTATATAACGTAGATGTATAATTGTTCATAGTCGTCTCTTAAAATCCTTTTTTAATTCTGTGGTATCAGTTGTAAAGTCTCCTTTTTAATTAATGATTTTAGTCATTTACTGTCATTTGTCTTAATATAGAACAGCTCATTTCTTTTTATCAGAGAATAATATTCTATTGTATAGATGTTCCACAGTTTGTTTATTTGTTCATCTATTGAAGGACATCTTGGTTGCTTCTAGGTTTTGCCAGTTATAAAAACAACAACACTGCTTTAAACATTGATGTTTTGTGGATATGAATTTTCAAGTTTGGGGGATAAATACCTAGAAACAAGATTGCTGGATCATGTATATGTAAGATGATGTTTAGTTTAGTTTTAGAAGAACTGCCAAACCATCTTCCAAAATAGCTGTTCCATTTTGCATTTCCTCCAGCAATGAATGAGAGTTCCTGGTGGTTTCACATTTTACCAGCATTGGGTGTTATCAGTCTTTTGTATTTAGCCATTCTGAGAGGTGTGTAGTAATATATCATCATTGTTTTAATTTGCACTTCCCTAACAATGTATGATATTGGACATCTTTTCATTTGCTTATTTGCCATCTGTGTATCTTCTTTGGTAAAGTATCTTTTCACATCTTTTGCTAATCTTAATTTTCTGCTTTTTGAGAATATTGAGGGTCAGGGCCTATTGAATATTTGATTTTGGAAAGTCTTCCAGTAACAATTTGCTTCTTTTTTCATTTATTTTAGATCATAACCTCCTTTCCTCTCTCTTCCACCTTCTCTCCTTCCTTCTTGCCACCTAAAAATATTTATTTTTATTTTCCATTTTATTTATTTAACTTATTTTTCTTTATGGTTGAGTTTGAAGTTTTACTACAGTTTAGTTTTTCTCTTATTTGGAAACTTTAATTTTGCTAACTAGATATGATTTTCATGATCACATTTACATCTGATATTTATAGGTTGTATTTCATTTTCATTTTTCTACATTGAGCATCAATATTTTCCACAGTCAACAAAGCTGACATCTTATAATCAGCTAAGGGAATGGTGGACTTTAAGTGGCTCAAGAACACAGTAGTGAAATGACCTTGGTTTGCTTGTGGGTACTCATTCCATTAGTCTGATGACCTGAGGGTCATCTTGCCTTTTGGATACCATCTTGAAATTGTTACTAAGGCCTCAGAAAAATGGTGGACCTCAAATCTTTAGTATTACTTAGCAAGGTAGTATTTTGTGACTATTTTAAATACACACTGCCTTAATGCATGTGTCTTTTTTTCACCTTCTTTCCTCCTACAGTCACCAGAGAAGAAAGGAAAAGAAGCAAATACTGGTTTTGGTGGGCCTGTTGTTAGTTCTCTGTATCATGAAGAAATCATCAGGTAATTTCTCCTCTGGTTTTTTTTTTTTTTTTTAAAGATTTTATTTATTTGAGAGAGAGAGAATGAGAGATGAGAAGCAGGCTCCCTGCTGAGCAGGGAGCCCGATGTGGGACTCGATCCTGGGACTCCAGGATCATGATCTGAGCCGAAGGCAGTCGCTTAACCGACTGAGCCACCCAGGCACCCTCTCTTCTGGTTTTTGATAATAGAGATACATACATCTAAATGTGTGTATACATGTATGTGTGTATTTTTAATTCTGAAAACTTCCATCTGTGAAGAACTTTTTCTTAATATGAAACTAATTTGGTGGTATCTCTAGTAGTATAATAAATAGGAAAGAATTTTTTAGGTGTATTATCTTTGAAATCAATAAGTGTTTGAGTCAGTACCAGATAGTAACTTTTCCCACCACATAAGTAGTTGGTAGGGCAAGGTTTTGTGTCTCACACAATCTAAAGCTGTGGGGTTTTGTTGTTGGTGTTAGTTTTCCTCAGAATACCTTATTTCTTTGTGTGTGTGAGTGTGTGTGTATTTGTGTTTAGGTTTATTCACAATACTGATAAAAATGCCATTATCCTTTTTTTTTTTTTTTTTTTAGTATGGCTCCAGTCTGAACTGAAGTATGTAAGGGAAGGTGTTGATTTAGTCCCATGAAGCTTATACAATTTCTAAAAATGTTTATGTTCTTTTTTAGAAAAAAAAGTTTTAAATTTTTTGTTGTCATTATGAAATTAGCATTATTTCTTTTAAAGATTAAAAATCATGTTGAGTATAAAATGGTACACTAAAGAGAATATTGTGGAGAATTCTCAAAAAATTAAAGAATTACTATATGATCCAGCAATTCAGCTTCTGGTTTTATATCCAAAAGAATTGAAAACAGGATCTCAGAGACCTGTTTGCACACCCATGTTCATAGCAGCACTATTCATAATAGCAAAGAGGTGGAAGCCACCCAAATGTCCATCGACAGAAGAATGGATAAACAAAATGTGGTATATATACATATAATAGAATCTTGTTCATCCTCAAAAAGGAAGGAAATTCTGACGCAGGCTATAGAACATGGATGAACCTTAAGGACATTATGCTAAGTGAAATAAGCCATTCATAAAAAGATAAATACAGTATGATTCCTCTTATATGGAGGTATCAAGAGTAGTCAAATTCATAGAAACAAAAAGTAGAATGGCAGTTGTCAGGAACTGGAGGAAGTGGGAAATGGGGAGTTGTTATTTAATGGGTGTAGAGTTTCAATTTTGCAAGATAAAAATTTCTGGGGATTGGTTGTGCAACAATGTGAATATACTTAACATTACCGAACTGTACACTTAGAAATGGCTAAGATGGTAAATTTTATGTTATGTGGGGTTTTTTTTAACCACAATTTTAAAAATTCTTAATGGTCATCTTGTATTATTTAACAAGGACCTTACGTTTTATATGTTATGTATAAAATTTCTTTGATAATATTTCTTTCAGCACTATGTGAAAATCAGGAAAAGGATTTTGTCCTGCTTTAAAGTCATGTGACACATTCTTCTAAGATTTTTTGTCTTGGCCTTGTTTTTTTAAGTCATCTAAATTTTAGTCTTCTTATAAATTCTGGAACATATTATTAAGATATGAGACAGTAGGAAACATGAATGTGAACCACTGAAAGCCTTTTAACTATTACAAACATTAATTTTGCCATTATTAATAGCAAATCAGAAATCACAGCACTTAGTCATTTTCTTATATTCAAGAAATCATTTTGTAATTAAACTGAATTCCATTATAATAAACTAGGTCATGATAAAAATTAAACTGAAATGTTGGATTATTTCAGTAAAGGATCAGATGTGATCCCTATTGTTTCTGAAGTATAAGAATGCAGTTACAACAATGAATATAGGCTATTTGTTGAAGTTTATGTAATCAAATTTTGCTTGTACTTAGGTGAAATATACCTGGTGTTTTATTTTTCCAAGAGGAAGTTGTGCTTTAACTGATGTTAATTGCAGTTTCTTGGCAGAATTAAGTTCAGCTGAGGTGAAAGTGACAGGTTTTAGAGCTTTAGAAATGTTAAATGGTAAACTTAAGTGAAAGGAAAAGTTCTGTAGAACCAATGTTTTTAAAAAGAACACTAAAAAAGTATTTTGTATTTATTTCCTTACTTACTTTAGTTAGAGAGAGGGGGAGAGAGAGCATGAGTAGGAAGGGCAGAAGGAAAGGGAGAGAATCCCAAGCAGATTCCACATGCTCAGCATGGAGCCTGACCAGGACTTGATCTCATGACCCTGAGATCATGACCTGAGCTGAAATCAAGAGTCGGATGCTTAACCGACTGTGCCTCCCAGGAGCCCCTAAAAAAGTATATTGAAGTTCTGTTTTGGATATTTTAATACATATAGTCTTCTAAATTTTTTTTAATTTTTAAAGATCAGGAAAATCAGTATCTAATAAACTCATTTAATAAGACTTGGGCTCCATTGTTCTGGCAGCTTTCCTAACTAATGTGCATTGTAGGTGATAAGGCCCATTTTTGTTTTATTATAAATGTGCTTGAGCCAAGGGCCACTGGGGCCAATTCTGAGCCTGTTTTGGTTCTGACCCTTATTTCTACTCTGTCACAGAAAGTGACAATATAATGTCATAGGTACAGATCTCTGTGTTAATATTCTAGAGCCCTGACACCAATTTTTTTAAAGATTTTATTTATTTTAGAGAGGAGGGAAGGGGCAGGAGACGGACAAGCCAACTCCGTGATAAGCGCAGAGCCCAACGTGGGGCTTGATGCAGGGCTGGATCTTACAACCCTGAGATCATGACCTGAGTTGAAATGAGGAGTCGGTTGCTTAACTGACTGAGCCACCCCAGTACCCCCTGACACCGATTTTTCATTATGAAGCTGGTTAATTGTTCTATGGTGTAATAGAGGAGATATAGTGTGAGGCTAATTAAATATAAAATACTATGAAGCCAAACTGCTGGCATTCAAATGTTGGTTCCACCACTTACTAGCTCTGTGACCTTAGACAAGTTACTTTATTTGCAAAATGGGGGTAATTATATTACCGTTCTTACATGACACTTAGGTGGATTATATGAATAGTATGCACAGGCATCCTAGAATAATATCTGGCACAAAATAAGTTACTATGTAACTGTGAACTTTTACTAGTATTGTTATTCAACACAGAACTCCCACAGCAGGGACCCAGAACACAGGGCTTATGTTAGGAGCTAAAATCACATGTTGGTCTGGTTCTAGAATTAAGTACAGGTTTTTTGCTTTTGCAAGAGAAAATGGAAAATAAGAAAGGAAGAGCCAGTACTATTAGAATCTATATTTGAACTATAGAAACAAGAGAGTGACAAATCTTTGAACTCACAGACAGTTGCTCTAATCTTAAGAGCAGATGTGTTTCATTTATACTGCAGATGGGCAGAAAAAGCTCTGATTAATAAGCATAGGGCTTTGCAAAGAGTCAAATGCTTCTGCACTACATATACTGACTTAACAAGAAATCACTTTTGGTGACTTGTATGCTTAGAAGGTTTTATCTAGAAGTTGACACATAAACTGAGAAATTAGGGCAAGAATTAAAAATAAATGAAGCATGTACAGTGTCCAGTCTACCCTGCAATAAGATTTGGTCTTCCCTGTTATATTTTGTAGTTTGATGCTATGTAATCTATCAGAATTTTATTAATCCCACTTAGACAGGCAGCCATCTGGACCTTCTCTAAGCAAGACCAGACCAGCATACAACTAAGATGATTGATGGGCTCTGGAATTGATTAGTTGTTCTGTGAGACAAATGAACTCTTTTGGCAGAAAATACCAGAGGTCACTGCTGTGGTCAGACACAAAAGCCTGTAGAATTTTAAAGAGATGCTTTCATCATTGACTTACAAAGTTAAAAATTTTTAAACAACATTGGATTTTGAAAATATTTTATAAATATCTTTTGATTGGCTGCTCTTTAGTTCTGATTATAAAGTGGCATAATATAAATATAATAAACTACAATGGAAGTGATTATGCTTTAATTTTGTATTTTTGGTAAAAATATGAACTGGAATGAAAGCGTAAAAGCTTATCCCTTGCACATAAATTGTACTCTAAAATTTTCCTGAAAGAGGTGTAATTGGAGAAAAAGCTACAACATATATTGTTTTATTAAGTGATTTATAAAATCAGATGGTATAAAATTCCATTCAGTTATTTATTCAAAGCTTCACACTGTTAGATAGCAGTCTGTTTGGACAAATCAATGTAAGACTCCACAAAGTTTCAAGAGTATGTGTTATACATATTTTAATTTTAAAATTTGAATATTTGGATTTTTTTTGCTTTCAGTTGGCTAAGTCGTTCTGGGATACTGCTGTACCATTGATACCGCTTTTCTCAGCACCAGAAAGATTATCCTGCTTCCCTACATCTGTTTGGCTGGTAGTAGTGAAATCCTTTCCTATTGCACCGTGTTGCCCATGATCAACATTGTGTTAACACTTTGGTGATAGGTGATAAATTGGATGACATATGTCTTGTTACATTCTGGTTATTCTTTGAGGACTACACAAGTGTGTATAGGCAAGTGGGCAACTCCCCCTTGAGAATCTGACTGCTCAGAATGAACTTGAGTTATGGATTTATTCAGCCTGTAAAACCTCAGCTGGCATAAATAATTGAGAAAGCAAAGGTTTTTCCGTGGTGCATACCTCAGGGACTCATGGCTCCCTTCCTCCTCTCTACCTCCCTTTCTTATGAAAATGATCCCAGTTGCACTCCTAGATAATAACACACCAAGCAATTAAAAGCCATGGGTGGCTGGAGAGAGGAGAAAAGGTTTAGTTAATGAGCTTTTCCTCTTCCAGTGCCCAGGAGAGCCTTAGGAATGACAAGGCGATTAAAGCGAAGAGATAATTATAGATTATGTGAAAATGGGTCCCTTGGGACAAGCAGGTCTTGCCATAAACAGTAACTGTTGTAAGAGTCTCCTGGCTCT